GACGACATAAAAAAAAAACTCGCCTTCTCTAATGAGGGCCTGTGAAGATGAGACCGAAAAAAAAAGGATAGTCGACTCCCTAATGACCGACGCGCGTATTCGAACATGCATACTGGGAGAGGTCGTCGTTCGCGCATTTTACAAGGATACAAAAGCGAGAAAAGATATAAACACGGGAGCTGAAGAAACAGTGGCTCTCCTAATGAACGCAAAACGTCGCCTCTAGGCTAACAAGTCACTGGCAGCTGCTGTGCGGGCCCCGAAAAAAAGTGTCAGGTCGAGCGCCCCTTCCCTTTCCGTGCACCTCGAAATCCTGCCCTCTGGTGTTGACCTTCGGCGCGCGCGTGGGCTTCGACCGCCGCCCCCTCTGGCGGCACTGCCTGCGTAAGTGGCGTGTGTGTGGGCATGACGTTGTTTGTGTAAGGCAGAGCGGAGCGGATTTGGATTACAGTCGCAGTAACAGTATACCGTAGCGTGCCTTGCTGACGAGTGGACGACGTTTGCGCACTGCTTTCCTAGTCTCTTCCCCTTTCCCTCCCTCCTGAACCTCCTCCCCAACCTTTCCCTGCTCTCTCCCTTGGGACTTCGCCGTCGCTTGGGGCGCGGAACTGTCGTGCTGCGCGGTAGCCGAAACGTCGGCGTCGTGTGAACATGCGTGTGCATGTGTGCGCGCGTCGTCGTCGCCGCGTCCATGGCATAGACGGCATCCACGCGAGACGACCTTCGAAGAAGCAAGAATTGAAATGTGAACGAAAAAAAAAAAGAACATACCGAAAGCTTTAAGGAACACGGCGGTATGTGAAAGAATGTACGAATGCATTCCGTGTGGTGAGAGATGTCCCCTTTTTGAGGAACGCGAGACGGTCGTTATAGCTCAGTCCAAAGCTGTCCACGCGACGCGGTGGTTTGGATAGTTACGTCTAAAGTTGCTCGTTCGAAGAAGTCGATCGATACTTCCGAATGCAGTTAGTGTGTGTGTGTGATCTGTGTCAGTGTGACATACGCATCGAAATTCCAGAGAAACAATAGTGCAATCAGTGTGCGAATAATAAATTTGTGGTTGTTTTTTTAAGCCAGCCGATACAAATAGCCGATAATGTCAGTAGAGCGAAAGCGTCCTATACACGTCGTAGAAAATCTGAACCGCGCATGTATGAAAGAATTAGCACTTTAGGGAAAGCTGCATTCCGACGCTGTTTCCCGACGACGCTAGTGCAGCGTTAGTCCTTACGTGCCCTGTTCCAGGCTTGCCTCATCAAAGGAATCTCTCAAAACACCGCATGTTTCGCGCCTTCCCAGGCTTCACGTTGGGGGAGCTGAGACATCCTTCCCTACTTGCTCCGCCCCTTCTCCCGATTTTTAGGGGCGAAGCACCTTAAAAACCGCACAATGTCCCTCCCTTCATAAACCGCCGCCGGCGTCTATTTATTCCCAGGTGTTTTGGTTCCTACAGCAGATGTAGGAACCGAAACACCTGGGAACAACAAAAAGGCTATCAAAAGGCAGCTAACCAGAACGACCAAAATGAAAGGCCGGAACACCGGACACACGCTGAAATTTAACCATACATTAATAAAAACGTATAACAAGACAAAAGACTAACAAGAACGCAATAAAATGCTGTTAACCAGAACGAAATAGGCCGTGAGTCATGACCGGATGCACACTGCTTCGTACCCCATCGTGCGCATTCACTTCGTTGATATGCGTGGATTTTTCTCTTCTTTCTTTCCATTGCTCCCGATTACGTGAAGTGCGCGTTGAAGGAATGCCATGCTGCAGGGCATGGCGACACTCGTAATCCAGTGTGTTTTAGTATCTTTCCCTAAGACACATTCTCCGCGAAGATCGATGTTCACCTTGGGATTCTTTATGCCGGAAAAGGTGTCTCACAAAACGAAAATAAACACGTTCACGTCAGCCTTAAGGTATGTTGCAACAGTGGACGACATAAAAAAAAAAACTCGCCTTCTCTAATGAGGGCCTGTGAAGATGAGACCGAAAAAAAAAGGATAGTCGACTCCCTAATGACCGACGCGCGTATTCGAACATGCATACTGGGAGAGGTCGTCGTTCGCGCATTTTACAAGGATACAAAAGCGAGAAAAGATATAAACACGGGAGCTGAAGAAACAGTGGCTCTCCTAATGAACGCAAAACGTCGCCTCTAGGCTAACAAGTCACTGGCAGCTGCTGTGCGGGCCCCGAAAAAAAGTGTCAGGTCGAGCGCCCCTTCCCTTTCCGTGCACCTCGAAATCCTGCCCTCTGGTGTTGACCTTCGGCGCGCGCGTGGGCTTCGACCGCCGCCCCCTCTGGCGGCACTGCCTGCGTAAGTGGCGTGTGTGTGGGCATGACGTTGTTTGTGTAAGGCAGAGCGGAGCGGATTTGGATTACAGTCGCAGTAACAGTATACCGTAGCGTGCCTGGCTGACGAGTGAACGACGTTTGCGCACTGCTTTCCTAGTCTCTTCCCCTTTCCCTCCCTGTTGAACCTCCTCCCCAACCTTTCCCTGCTCTCTCCCTTGGGACTTCGCCGTCGCTTGGGACGCGGAACTGTCGTGCTGCGCGGTAGCCGAAACGTCGGCGTCGTGTGAACATGCGTGTGCATGTGTGCGCGCGTGTTTTGTGTGTCTACGTATGGGCGCTGTCTGTATACGTGTTCACATACGAGCGTCTGTCAGTCAATTTTTGGATGCGAAATTTGTTTGGGCTTGAAAATCATTTCGGACAAGCGTGTACTTCCTAGAAAGCATTCCGGGAGCTTTGTGCAACGTGGTGTTTTGGGCACGACGATGATTACTTCTCACCGAATCCAACTGTTGTATTCTTTCGTACGCTACCGGCACTGGCTATTACTGGCTAACTGCATGGTTAGCGTTGACTATTCTCTGTTATTGCAGCATCGTTCTCTTCGTTCAAGCTATGTGCAGCGGTTAAGATGTTTTAGGGGCGAAGCTCCTTATAGCGTGGCTTGTGCGTCCCTCGTAGTACGTATCCACCAGTGGCACATACCCGAAATAGCGGTCCTTACGATTTTGACCTCCAAGGTGGTTCCGGTGAAAGATTTCTTCTGTGCGTTGTTGAACAATAAAAGATAGTGCTCAATGCACATGTTAATGGCTGCCAAGGGGGAATGAGAGACAGGAGCATTCGGCCTTTAGGTAACGCGCACGCTGCGATCCCCATTAGCAGCTATTGACATGTACATTGAGCACGATCTGACAAGAAAGGGTTGCTACGTTATACTCACTGGGGTGTAACCTCCTTGGTTTTAGAAAGGTTTAGCGAGCGTTGGGCCGCATAGCCATGAATACAGTGAACTAGTATATACCATGAACTCGAGGTGGTTAAAAGGTGGAAAGTAAACCCGAAGCGCAAGCAGTAAGAAAGTGTGCATGTGCCACCTCCCGTTTAGTCTTTGAAATGTCCGCTGGATGGCGGTGCTTCTATATGGAGAATATATGATGAAAAGATGCGAGATGGTGGTACTTGGAGTGCTGAATAGATGGACGAACAGACACACAGACAGATGCATGGATGGACGCATGAACGGACGCAGGCGCGGATGCATGAACGAACGCAGGGACGGGCGCACGAACAGACGCACGCACGGATGGGTGGATGGACGCATGAACGGTTACACAGACGTACGCAGGAACGGACGGAAGCAAGAACGAACGGACGGACGAATGCTTCGCCCCACTCCCCATCATTCACTCCGTGGATATGCTGCCATTTTTTTATCTAGCTTAATTACCAAATCATCAGATTAGGACAGTTTCATAAATTGCAGATATTTTATGTGTCGCAGGTCTAAAGTGACAGCTCTCTTTGAGCAGCAACTTATGTGCGTGTGTGTGTAGTTACCACATTAGGTTACTTCACATATGAGCCATCTCATATGTGGCTTCCACATATGCACACCGAGTGACGTTTTTGACAAACAAACCCCAGGGAGAGTTCGCTGAGATAATTATAAGCTCGCATCCTCGCTTAGCGCTAACTGACATGCCAAAAAGTGTCACTGAAGCAGGTCTTGCTGCAACCTTGTCGCATTCGCCATGACGTCATTCATCTCTAATTGGTCGGTTGCGGTGATACGGCGTCTTTCATTGTCTCGAAAACATCAAGTAGCGGAACTCGAGAGAGTTCAGATTTCTCAACGTTCGCAATGAATAGAATATTGCGTTGCCGGAATCGTCAAGTCGGGATCCAGTGGCTAGTCTTTCGTAGCACGTTTGGCTCCAGGGTGGACGGCTGGTGCTGTTCTGGACATTGTCGAATTCCGCCATGTGGTCGAACTCTGTCATCGCTCAACGCTGATTGGCTCGGAGAATAGCTACAGCCTTCGCGATTGGCTTAAAACGTCGCGATTACGAAACTTGACTAGGTGGCAGAACTTCGCAGCATCCAGGATACAGCAGCCACGGTGGTATAGTTTGTATAAAGCTCGACTGCTGAATCTAAAGTTTCGGCATCGAACCTCGGCCGCGGCGGCCTCATTTTCGATGAAGTGAAATGCGTAAGATCTGTGTACATTGAGGAGGTCGAATTTTCCGGAGAGGAGGTCGAATTTTCCGAAGACGTCCACTATGGCGTCTTTCATAATCGTATGGTGGTAGCTTTGGGGCGTGTTGGTCCAGTAGTAATTGATCTCAGCAAAAGGGACACTTTGGCTGGTTAGTTTGCGTTCATATAAGTTAGCTCATTGGCTACACACATGCATGAGGACAGGGTTATTTGCCTGAGCATTGCCTCTTGCATGTGTTTTTTCCTCCTTCGTCCGCCATCTTTCGCCAATTCTGTATTGTTACTCGTAGACCAGTGCAGGTCTTGTCCCTGTTCGTTTCAGTCAGTCGGCGCACTTTCTTATAGAGTCCATTAGTGTGTTGTCCCGACCGAGTGTGCAGGTATAGCCACCCCGAGCTCGAAAATAAATCTAAAACGGAACTTTCTGTTGTTGTTTTTTCCCCCTCCCTTCAATTTTGCCCGCGTTCCAGGGAGAAGGAACAGGACTTGGAGAGGCGCTTCGAGATGCTGAACGAAGAACTCCGGGCCGTGCTTCAGCTCCAAGGCGAGTCTCTCCTTTATGTTTCTTTTCTTTGCATTATATTTTTTGTGTCTGGGCTAGCGTACGTGGCGCCATTGCTATAAGCCGCTTATGGCCTCCGCTGCCGGGACCCACGGCTGAATCAATGGGCCCTGTAGCGGGCTCTCTATGGGGAAAATAAGGAAATACATATACACGTAGTGTACCGTTAGAAACGGGAACTGGGAAAGGTTGAGAAAGAGAGGAGAGCGTTGGGTGGCCTGACCGGCTTGTAGCGAGTGAGCTCCCCTGGCGTAGCTCGCTAATGGAACGTCGTTGCTGGCTCCTCTGAAAGCGTTTCTTTTGTATCGCGTGCTTATTATTATTCTTTTTTTTTCTTTCCAACGTTGACTGCGCAGACTGGCAGAAGACGGACGCCCAGCGTAGCCGGGAAGCCCTTCTGCTCGAGGAGCTGGTGGCCCTGGTCGACAAGCGGGACGAGCTGGTGCAACACTTGGATTCCCAGGAAAAGGCGTACGTGTAGATGAAGGAATGGCGTGTTTTTCGCGTGCTGATGTCGCATTTGGTTGATTCCTAGATGTATGGTTTGGATATCAAATGTCGTGACCGGTCGCCAAGCCGGGAGGCGTGGCTGTTTTCACCATTCCCGCCTCTTTTTTTTTTTGTGTGTGTGTGTGTGTGTGTGTGTGTGTGTGTGTGTGCGCGTGCGTGTGTTTAATGGTTAGGACATCAGACCACCACAAACGAGAAACTGAGCCTGTCGTTCAAATATTTATAGGTTTACGTACGTGTTGTCAAATCAGGTTATTGGGGCCCACTCGTTGCGAAATGAAAAAAAAAATTGCCCCCTTCCCCTTACACCTTCCACTCGCTATAGTGTGCGCAAAATCTGAACATGCGTCTCGAAAGCGGCCTTTAACCACCTCGGCTTACCCTCCTAGGCGTCACTCATCCATGGCCTTGTTCAGGCGCCCTTTTATCTGTGGCTCCCAGCTCCACAAAAAAACCTGCAATGGTGGTGTCGATCGCAATGCCGTAGCATTGAAGAAATTACACTAGCTCCCCTCAAAATTGGCAGTCTTGGTTTCGTTTTCGAGTAACTTAAGAAAATTCGGGAGGTCGATTGAGACCAGCAGGACTGAGAGGGTTACAAAATCATGACGCTTATTTTTCGACTATAATCTGCGTTATGTACGTTAATCGTTTCGCGTTCACAAGCGCGCCGTCAAAGTTTTAGAGCATTCGGTCCCGTACCTAAATTTCAATTGGACATTTTTATGAAGACACGAGTGATTGTTCAGTCGGGAAACACTGGCGCCCTCGCGAGGCGGGATATAACAGGCTGCTTGCTGGCTGTGCGAACGTCTGCACTGCGTGGAACGATTTTGTTAAGAGGTCAGCGGCTCGCGCGGTCGAGCTGTTTCGGCCTTCTTTGGTTTAGCATTGAAGTTAAAAGATTTGTAGTGACTGAAACTAGTAGAAGATGATGGCTCCGTTTAAACTCTGGTAGAAGGTGACTTCGCACCAGCAATCGCTAGTGACTGGGGATTAAATTGTGTCCAATGTTGACTGTCCGCTATTACAGCACTATTTACTATCATTCAACCGATTTAGTTTTATACCAGTTTTGTTTTGCTACGTGAACTCACGTTCTGTAACAGGTTACAGCCACTGTAGTTGCAGTGCAGTGACTAGAAAGGAAGTACAACAAAGACTTCCTGTTGTAGTAGTGACAGTGATGGTTGCGGATGTAGATGCGGCGATAATAGCTGCAGTAGGGGTTCGAGCGCGAGCTGGTGTAGACAGTTGACGCCGTAAGAATCTGTGTATACAATTTTGTTCCCGCGTTTTACACAGTGTTAGCGTTTTCTTGACTGGCGTGTGTTTACTACATGTCAATCTCCGTTTCTTATCCCATCCCGCCTTCCCGTCTGTTTTTTACCACGTGTGCAGCATCGAGGAGGACGAGATGATGGCATTGGCCACCAGGCGGCAGCGGCTTCCGCCAGAGCGCAACAACTGCAAACTACAGTGACCTCCGGTGACGAGAAACAACGAGATGGAACGAAGGAGAGGAAGGATAGACGCGATGCTTCGCAGCAGCAACTTGCCTCCCGTTATTTGTGTTTTTTCTTTTCGTCCGCCAGGCGGCGGCGCACCAGACAACAATAAACCGTCAGCAGCCAATTAGAAAGGGGCGTGAAACCCGAGACCCTCCTGGCGGCGGGGCCGCCTTTCCTTGCCGCGTTCGTGGCGTTAATTGGGAAGGCGGAGGAGTGGGGAGGGTGTGCGCGCACCGTCCGCGGGCTGTAGCGACACGCTGTAGACGCCGTGGCCTACTCTTCTGCGGTGGCATGCCTCGCATCTGTTGGATGACGCCCTCCCTCTCCCTCCGCTGTGTTTAGCCGCGACATCGTTGGAGGGCGCTGCATGCCGGCGCGCGCGGGAATTCGTCGCTGCGAGGAACCGTGCAGTGAAGAAAAAACGCTGCGTAGTGTCGCCGAGTATGGCGGACTCGGTGAGCCGGTGGTGGATCGCTGTAGCGCGATGAAAAGTTGTGCCGGATTTTGATGCAGATCGCTTTCGAACTGTGTGGCGGTAGTCCAATTGCGTTGTGTGACTGAAAACAACAAGAAAAAAAATCTGAGAAATTGTGGTTGTATGAAGAAGCAACTGCTGTGTAATGTTGGATACAACCTTTGAAGTCTGCAACATTCTTTCCTCAAATGTGGATGCATTGTAAGCCTGCGCCAATGTGTGGGCCGTTCAGGCTGACGTCATCTGCTAGACGGGCAGTTACCCTGCATTTAGAACATTGCGTAGTGCGTGATCGGGATTATTTTCTTGGTCGCCGAAGGTATCGGCTGCCGCGATTCGGGCACCTTGGTAAGGCCTGTTCAAGCTGATGAACGTCACGTCAGACTGGTGTCATAGGTCTCGTACAGGTGGCGCCGCCGTCGCATTATGATTTTCATAAGTCACGTGTTTTTGTAAAGCTGATTGGGCTCTTGTTGAAGATAATCGGCCCTTGTTGAAGATAATCAAGATATGATTTTCTCACGTGTCGGGGACGCGTCAGTCGTAGGTGTCATTACAAATGAATGGGCTGATTGGCCTTATACATTGCTCATTACTCTTCCCTGTTGTCGCGAGCTGTATTCTATCGCATTTCTTGTTCGGTGCTAGGCCGTTGACCCTGAGGCCGCGTGCTTGATTCTGGCCTTGGCTGTCTCATTGTGATCGAAGTGAAATTATGAAAGTCCGTTTATTGAGATTTAGAAACATGTTAAAAAACACCGGTCTTCAAAATCTCTGGAGGTCTGCAATACGGCGTGCTTTGGAATCATACCGGCGTTTCGGCTCGTAAAACACCAGAGATGAATTGACGCCTCAGTCATAGTAGGGTTGATCACAAGATAATGTGATCATGGGCGGAATGGTATTTTGCTACGACTATGCGCACGCATTGCTGTCATAAACCTTCACCACTTTTTTGGTGCTGTAATTGATTGTTTTCTTTGTTTACATTTAGTCGACAAAAAAAAGATTTTGTTCTCTATAACAAAAAGTTTCGTATAACTAACACATGTGCATAACTGACTGAATTGGTGACATCGACTAACCACAGGCGGAACAAAGTCGCGACAACCTACTTGACCAAAACAAACCGAGAACCTGACCAAAGCTACTCGGTGATTTGATTTCATTTGTTCATACCCTCAAGGCCCGAGTGTGTTACAAAGGGAAGTGACTACACTGAAAAGTACTAGGAATACAAATATGACATGCAAAAAAATGCATAATACAAATCGCGTCATGTTTGTGTAATGTTAGCTTGTATACAATGACTGATGTATTACTTTAAATTCTTAGCTAATGTTTCGAGAAAACGAACAATAACGTAAAAAAGGGTCCATTCGATCCATGAAGGAGATTCCAGTTCACTGTTCGAGGGAGCAATCGTGAAACGTATGTATGGGAAGTATTTAACTGAATACGATAATGATGCAGTAATAAGTGATCGCAACATACGTGAATAGTGCACCATTTTTAGTGTTTTTCTACTCTGGTGGTGCGGAGATATTCCCACACTTACTAACGTAATCGTGGGAGGCGTGACCCGCCGGGCGGGCCCCAGTAAGCCTGCTGGATACCCTAAATAGGGCCTGCCGAGCCGCTGTTGCCAGTGGAGCCTCAGAAGAGGGGCCCCACACGCAGTGAACCAATTTTTTAAAATAAATGTTGGCTCTCTCTCTTTCGTGGAGATGTAAGTGGTGTTGAAGTCATCGACCATGACCGCCAGTGACGTAAATCCAGAAAAATGTCTGAGGGGACGCACACCTTGATAAGCTGGTCTAGAAGGCGTCCCAAGTTGTTAAGGTACAGTCTCTGTTCACGAACCAGATCATAGCGCCGTCATCCAACGCGAAGTACACAAAGTGCAGCTTGTCATTTGTGCCCCAGTTATCGAAGGGTGCAGTCCTCTCGTGCTACTCAAGCCACGTTTCTGGGTCCTCGCATGATGATCCCTGCAAGATGATTCCTTTGCCGCGGCAATATGATTGCGGGCTATGGCGCATCGGCTCTCATTGTTGTCGCAGTCAAGGTCGTGGCCTTGGTCTTCCTAGTTTTGTCGGGTAGAGAGGGGCCCATACTACGGTGGTACACCTTGTTGCCTTGGATTAACTCGCTGGTCGTGGTTAGCGTCTTGGTGGCCGTTTAGTTTTTCTTTTGTAAGTACGTTTTATTTTTAGTTACTTAAAAATGTTTTTCAACTAAATAAAATAGGCCCTCAGCAGCTAAATGTTATAAGTGCACTTAGGTATAGGCTCTAGCTTATTTCTCTAGCTGATATATCATTCAGGTTAAACTGTCACATGATGTTTATTTCGTTTTGTATCTCAACACAGGACGTTCATTTTGTTTCGTATTTGAGCACACTACGTTCATTTTTTTTTTCGTGTCTGAATACATGACGTTCATTTTGTTTTGTATCTCATCACAAAAGCTTCGTTTTCTTTCGGATGTCTGCTTTTTCGCCCAAGTTTATTCCATAACACGCACTGCGCATCTGAAGTGTTTGTAGAAACTTGCGCGTAGCATCAGCATAGTATTGGGCAACGTTACGACGCACCTGCCAAAGGCACGCAACTTCGTCGCTTTGTTTTTTTTTTTTTCCAGATGCGCCAAGTGTTGCGTAAGGGTGCATCGATACCTACTAGCGTGCTGGTGGGTGAAGGACGCCCGCAAATCGGCATAAACGACGAAAAAAAAAAGCTTCGTAACAAAACATCTTATATGCAAATAAAGAAACATTCACTAATTGATGCTTCAAATCATTAGTTTATAAGCAGCCGTGGAGCCTATCGGCAATTTTCGACGCTAGATGATGTCGAAAAGTAGCCGATTTGATTGATTGATTGATATGTGGGGTTTAACGTCCCAAAACCACCATATGATTATGAGAGACGCCGGAAAAGTAGCCGGTTTGGCGCAAGTTGGCCAGCGACGGCGACTTTTTGGGTACGTAATATGCATGCAGTATGAAATGGCATAATGCATACACATAGTTTCATGGACAAGTTAGCAAATCATAATTTTAAGGCAACGTGGTTATTAGAGTAAAAGAAAGAAGATTCGATGTCCTATGGATAAAATACTAAAATATAAATAGAGCGTATCCCATAAACAAGAAGATTACACCAAAAACCTGCTGTCCTACTGGAACCTGCTAATGGAACGTGTTGTCTTGTCGAAATGCCAGGCAGGAAACGATAATTCGAAAATCACAAATTAGACGCAGTGAATGTCGAGCAAATCGATTTCTCTTTTGTCATTCGATTGGTTGTCAACTTCTAGGGTAAACGTTCCTGTTTTACTGATCGGCATTACGCACCGAAACGAATTGCCTTTCTTTTTTTTTTTTCAATTACGTCCTGCGCACCAGTCAATCAAATTCACCCGGTGAGGACAACTTAAACGAGAAAGTGGATATGCACAGCTCGGCCGACGACTTCGTAAATGCACTCGGTTAATCTTCTGAGCTGGTGCGGACGCGGCGACATCTGCTCGACTTGTTTGCTGCTCCGCGGTTTGCCGTAATATCTGTGCAGTGTGGTCCTTGGTTAATCAGGGCAGAGCGGTATCGCGATAGTGTATTAGACCGGTGTTCACAAACCAACATTATCCATCTCACCTTTTCCTCATCGTGCAGTGCCTTTGGTATTTTTGATTAGGGAAATAGGCCGGTATTCGCAAACCAATTTTTCACTTATTCTTTAGCTTGTTGCCATTTTCGTACCGTTATAACGCATGTAGACTGTGAAGAAAGGCGACAAAAACAGGAGATAAAAACAGGGTTGGTTTGTAAATACAGGCGTTCGAGGTACTTCGAGCATCTGTGTTTCAATTTATTCAATTCGGGCCTTCCAGATACGCTGGTGCATAAGGCCGGAAGCCTTGGAGTAAGCATAGGGACGGCTTTAAGCTCTCCCATAGTAGAGTACCGAGTACTCTAAATCGTGAACCACTTATTCTAAACACACTCCAGTATCTATGTTTCTATTTCAAGATAAGAGGGTAAAATGTATCTATCTCAGCGACTAAGGATTTTTATAATGTAGTAGTGTCCATTGCATGGATACATGGTTTCTTATTTTCTTTTTGTGAAAAATGAGGTGACGTGTTTCTAATTGTTGTAAGTAATGACTAGAGATATATGCTTGCAAATTTCACTGCGCTGCAACATTATTCACAGTATTATGCTGAACTTCATTAATGTTCTTGCGGAGCATCAGTATTACCGAAACACAAATGTATTCTCGCATATTTATCGTGGTACCTGTAGCAGGATACTATTTGTCTTTTTTTTTTTTTTTGCGAAAGCATCCCCGATATATTCCGTAACGCCAGACAAATATATCTTAGCATCTGTATTTCAAACTTCCCAGCAAATGTACTTCAATATCTGCATTTCGGAACACTTTTCGAACATTCACTGCCCAGTCCTAGGTTCGATGAACGGTAGATGGTGGTTCGGAATAGGATAAATAAGCCTACGAAGGAGCATGAAGCAGAGTCATGAAGGCCTTACAAACATGGCGCACGTGTTTGAGGAGTGCTGCTCAACTACTCTCTGTACGTTTCCTTTCTCTCTTTCGTTCACTGTTTCCATTGTGCACGTGAATACGAGGGGTAGCTGCGAAACATGCTCAGCGAGTAGCAATACGTTCTTGAATACTGTGCGAAGGCACCATGTGTACGCTGATGTCATCTCTCTCTCACTTTAAATAACAGGTTGCGGGAGTGGCTGCACTGTAGTATGTCACTTTCCCCTACTTTCTTTTTCATCCTTTTCATGGGGTCAAGAAGGGGACTCGCCGAACACGTTGTGAAAACAAATACGATTGGAAAGATAGCTTCAAGCTTTATTACGGTTGTTGGCCCGATGTAGATAGATAGATAGATAGATAGATAGATAGATAGATAGATAGATAGATAGATAGATAGATAGATAGATAGATAGATAGATAGATAGATAGATAGATAGATAGATAGATAGATAGATAGATAGATAGATAGATAGATAAATAGATAGATAGATAGATAGAAACAACCTGCCAAAGCAACTAAACATCCGCTTACCAATTTCTTCTGCGGCACTTTCGCTGCGCAAATGTGTTTTTCGCTGTCATCTGCCACGTGATGACACGGCTGCTGGGAGCGCGGGGAAACACACTGTTTATGCTGTCTTTTTACACCTCCCACTCGTTTTGCGGTGGCGATGGGGCCGACGCCCACCCAGCCGCTAGCGTTCGGACACGCTGCACGCTTTTACCGAGGAAAAAAAAAAACTCCGCGGCGTGGCGCGCGCGCGCGCCTGTGTGTGCGTGGGGCAGTATTCTAACGCGTCGGTCGGAATGGGGCGCAATTAGCGGCGCTGAGGCGGTGACGCGGGGCCCGCCCCGTTTTTCCGCCACCGGCGCGGGCATGCCGTTTCTCTCTCTCCCATCGCGGCTTCCATCCGGGCAACACTGGGCAAGGCTTCCCTCTCCACGTCCGCCATTCTTCTCCCAATCCATCCATCAACGGCGTGCGCGTGCCGCGGCGCGTCGCCGTCGTCGGCGGCAACGCAACCGCATTCCAGCAGCCATTGTGGCGGCGCGGACAGTGATGAAGCGGCGGCGGCGGCTCCTCGTCGTCTTCTTCTTCCTTCTCCGGCAAAAAAAAAAAAAAGAACCTCGCGCGAAGAGTCATCCGTCAGCGTTCTAATCCACACCCCCTCCTTCAGCCTCCACCCACCCAAGCCCGCAGCCATACGATCGATGCTAGCCTCGCCACCGCGTTGGTTGCCGCCGCCGCCGCTCGATGGCTTTCCCTTTTGGTCGCCGCCATGCAAATGGCCGACGTCGGAGCTCCGGAGCGGGCGTCTTGATGAGAACAAGAAAAAAAAAAAGACTCGAGGCCGGAACCACGGGTGCGCCGTGATACTCGACAGGTGACGGA